GAGCATCTCTGCTTGGTAAGCGAGCAATCTCATAGTAGTCAGGACAGATTTGTAAATCTAATTTTTCATCCCGTCTTTCTGCCTGCCCTCTCGCTTTGCCTCTTCACGTTTGCCCACGGTGTTCCTCGTCCTTGTTCCGCGTTCGACTCTACGCCCTCTTCTCCACGTCTCCCGATCTCTCGATCTTCGTTCTTCGTTTCCCTGGCGCCCTCCCACTTTCCCACTCGTTCTCCTTCGTTCTCTGTTCTTCGTGCCTCGTTCACGTCTATCGTACTCTCATCCTCTCTCAACTTGTCTTGCCCTCTCTGTCCCTCCACCTGTTCTCACGCACGAGATCTCCAGACGATTCTCAGACGGCCAGTTTATACGGCGTTGATCTCTTAAACCGCTTAGCTTCGGGTTACACCGAAAACAAGAACGCACTCTCAAACGCTTAGACCCGTATAATACGTACTTGTTTGCGTACGAGTCTGCCGACAAAATGAGAAAAGCCTCGCTGTGAAATGGACGCGCGATCGTTCGTCGCATAATGACTCCGACTTCTCTGTCAAAGGTCCAAATTTCGACGATTCGATAAACGCGTGATGAATGAAACGTTCCGAAATCAAGGTCCGCGTGTGACCGTACGTGGAATGCATCGAAGAACCGAGTCGTCGGAAAACAATCGACCGGATATCGAGAAAGGGTGTTTGCGAAACCGCGTTGCACGATTTCGCGAGGATAAGGAGCAATCGTGACCAATCATTGGCCAAGAGATCGAGAAAAAGAAGGAGATCGGTAATCGGTCATTATTGCCGCAACGACGGACCCCCTAGCTACTAGACTTCATTTCAAATCGGTGGAATTAATCCCCCTGCAAGCGAGACAGGATACCTTAATACGTTGATCACGCCTATTGGCGCCGACTTTTTCCTGTGTGCGCCTGAAAAATCTAGATACTTATCAGTGACGGATTACGAGCGCGCATTCAACTGCGATAAAAACTACTGGAAATGGAGAAATTCCTCGAGACGCCGTAATCGTCGTAACGATCAAGCCGATCGGACATCGACCTCCGATTCACGTAAATTCGTGGAAATTCAGATTGAATACGGCAGTATAATAAAGCACAGTAAGATTATCGATAATGTAATAGTTGACAGATAAAATTGACGGAATCTATGTTCATCGTTGGACGATTTGTCTGGTAAACAGACATACAAACATCACAAGTACATCGGGAGTTAGATTTTTAACGCTCTTTGTACTTGGAATACATTCGACGAACTGCCGGGCAAAAGAAATACGCCTACAACTTGCTTCAGAATCTTTCTTGATCAAACCTGCTTGATAATCGATCCAGATCGATCGATTAGATACAAGTTTCGTTCACGTTGCGTTCGATTCGCGTCCGGTCGTATATCGCGTGTGGGATTCGCGATGATCGCGCCAGGTGCTATCCTTTGATCCGATCATTCCCCGCCTTAATGATCGTTGGTACCACAGAAGCGGCTCCTCGTCCGGCCGCTCGGTAAGACGGGAAACAAAAACGCAAAGAGAAAAAAATCCGGCGAGGCTGAAATCCACGAAGATGTACAAAGATGTGTGGGTTTCACTCCGCGAGGAAAAATATTCATTACAATAAAACTTATCGTGTTCACCATACTCTCGCAGGAAGAGAAAGAAAGAAAGATTCTCGAACGATTCTCGATTATTTGGGATCGTTGGAATTCGGTAGCACACCATGTGACCAGTCAGCGATCGTAATTGAGGGAGGAATGTAAGATGTCTAAGCAACGAAAGAGAATTATAAACAAAAAAAAGAGAGAGAGAGAGAGAACAGAGAGAAACGGAGAGGAGAGACGAGGGCGGAATCGAGCGACTATAAATTGTCAATTTCGAAGTCAATTTGCCCGGGCTTACCAATCGGCTGCCGGTTAATTTCAAGGTGAATTGTGTCCAATATGGGTATATTATTAATGGCCCGGCGAGGGATAGGGTGCACTCCGGAGCGGAGGGTTGCAACCCCGTTTTCGCGCACTGGCCAAATCTATCGCTCGGGGCCGGCGATCTGCTCTCTCGTATTCGGCATTCCGGGATTAAACGGTCTCTGATGTTGCGCTGCAGCCAGCAGTTGTCGACGCGTGTATACACGCGGTCGCATATGGGTTAAGCTCGCGAGGATCGAGCCTCGACCGCGACCGGAACACGATTCCAGGCCAAACGGCCACTGGCTCTCTCTTTCTCTCTCCTTTCTTCTCTCTACTGCCCTTTTTCCTTTGCCTTCTCACTCTCTCTCTCTCTCTCTCTCTCT